ACTGACACACTCGTCAATGGCTTTCAATTCTCAAAAGAGCTTCAGCCTCTAAGTGCAACCTTGGGGACAATATTTCACTCCGAACTAAGTTTTGGATGAAGACCCTCCTAACTTACCCATCATTGCTAGCAGGTTGTCACTGCTTATTATCCTTCAAGAAACTGAATTCAAGAAACTATAAAAAGAGAAAAGGGAAAATAATAGGAAAGGGAAATATCTATAAATGTACAAATGCACTACATGAAAATGAAAAAAGAAAAAGGAAATTTAAAATTGCTCCATGTTCTCCAAAAGACCTCGGCTAGGAAACCTTTTCTCATTAGGAATCAACCCTTCTGGAATATCCTTCTTCTTCCTGATCATCTGAGGAACTTATTCATTTGTGCTCTTGATTATTTTCTTGCAACCATCTGAGGTACTTATTGCCTACTCAGATCCAGTGTCTTGCTCAATGCTTCCTTTCTTTCAGTCTTGATTTTGTATCCACCTATGCAAAAGAAGACGGCTAATGGTGAATCTCAGGTTCTTATGTGGCTTTTCAGTCTTGTTGAGTAACTCCCGATATCTTCCAGCTGCCATGCCTAGTTAAAGAAATTTTACTGGTATTCATCTTGATTGCGATATCATTATACAACGTCTGGGGAAATGCATTCTTAATCCTAGAGAAGGGTAGTGTTTTACATTCCTCTGCTTTTCAGTCTTATAGCCTGACTGGGATAAGGAAATAACCTTCTTTGCATACTTTGTCTGACCTGGATGATAAGAAGTTGAAGGCCTCAGCTTGAACAAATAACCATCTTTTCACCACCTAGGGAATTTAGTGCCTATCCTAATGGCCTCATGATTTCTTTGCTTCGGTTATACTTCATTTGGAGGAGTGGAGGATATGTACCAATAGATTCTCTTTCTTTCATCAATAATGTCACCGGAACATGTAAAATGACCAGTAGAAACTTGTTTATATTTATCTACTAACGTGTTTTGTGTCCACCAATCATATTTTGCAATAGGTTGTGTCACCTAGAATTCAGGGTCAAACTGAGATAGGCAAAATTCCCCAGAAAGCCAAAATTTTTGGATGACTTTAAGAGGGAAGATACAATGGGCAGGTACCTTGAAATATGGCTTGATGTTTGCCACCTCCCACTGCTAGAAACCTCTATAGATATGCTTCAATATGAAAGGCTTCAAGTACTACACATTGGTTTTTCTTCCTTGCAGAACTTTCTTGCCGTTGGTAGAGAAGGTATTTCTTGACTTTTCTAGGTCAAAGGAAGCCAAGTTTTTGTTTGAAAATGAATATAAACAAGGGAAAGGGTTTAGGAGTGTCTCTTGAAGTGGAACTTCAAATTGTTTTAAGGATAGTGTTAAGACTTTATTAGCAAAGAAATAAAAAATTTTTTGCGAACATCTTTTTTGTGTGCGGTCAAAGGATCAGCAGAAAGAGTTTATTATAATAATATAAATTATATATTATATATTATATATATATATATTTTTTTTAACTAGTTCAACTGACAAAACAAATCTTTTATTTGAGAAATCAGTAGTACATTTTTTGGATTACATGAGTAATTCATATAACCTTATTTTTATCTACTTATTTTAACTCAAGTTCGCAAATTTTATCACGTTAGTGATACCATTTTCATCAGTTACTCTATTTTGCTCAGGACTATAGCATTCCGAAAGACCACTATGAACTTCTTATTGTTAATCTTCAAGGGACTGTGTTGTGTATTCCTTAGTAAGTTCTTGTTTACCACTTGATGTTCGTGGGTTCTATGAACAATCTCTGCCGTGTTTGGGTTCTCTACAGGTTAGTCAAAACTTAGATGGTGCAAATCTCCGGTCATGTTCTTGACATTTAGGTGATTCAATAGTGTCATGTAATTGGGTGGCATATAGCCTTCCATTACCTTATTTTTAACCACTCTTGCAAGTTGGCCTTACAAGAGTTTCTCTTGGTTACTTTGTAATGGATTGCTCCTTCCATTAGATTGGTTACCTTGATGATTATTTCCGAATTTCTTCTTCTAGGGTCTGCCCCTGCAGGTTGCCCAATGTGACACTAAAACTAACCACCAGCCTTCACAATAGCTGTCCTTTTTGGTAATCATTAGTTTCGCGATCATAGAGATCTCCCATTAATTATTATTATGGCCTGTTATATTTCGACAGATACAAATAACTGAAGTCTCCCTTATCTTCCATAAGATGTAGTTTTGACAGAGGTGGATGTTCTTCCCATTTCTGTTGTGAGGCTTGAACTGATCGGCATTCTTCCTAGCTTGTCTTGAATCCATACATATTCCAGACGGCAGTTTTATTGAAGATTTCCTTAGCATTAAAACCGGTCAAGGCTTGGATGACCTGAATTTTTACACTGTGGTCGGACGGTAAAAATCTATAGATTATTTGTGAGTACAAGAGTGCATATAGTGATGAGCATGCATCTTGTACAACGTAACCTATATATTGCAGAAACTGTTCCTAGGTGGAATTGAATCAGTAACTCATGGATAGTGACCTGGAAGTGCACCCACTTCACTATTGATCCATAGGCCACACTATATATTATATTATCATTTATATTATTTATAATTTATAAATATAACTTCAATTCAAAAAAATTTGTGTATAAATATATTAATTTTTTTTCTTTATTGCTGATGAATAATTGTCAAATTTTTAATAAATAATTAATAAACTTTTAATGAATGGTTTTGATAAATAATTGTTGAATTTTTAATAAATATTTGATGAATTTTTAATAAATAGTTTTGATGAACAGTTGTCAAATTATTAGTAAATTATTAATAGTTTAATTCTTTAACTAATAATATACTAAGACAAGCTAGTTATTATATACAGCAACAGATTATTATAATATTTAATTCGATTTTATATACCATTTAATAAAGACAAGTCATAAAGACATAATTGTAAGTTAAAAAAAAAATAAATTAGACAACATATACTGTAGATTAAACTATTTGAATTTTTTTTTTTTATGAAATAAATAATTTTCTTTCAAACGAATGAAAAGATTCTTTTTTTGACAATTCCTCCCTTTTTTTAAAATTTGAATATGAAATTATATGGAATAAAGGTTTTCATTTAGAACCATTGTATGATTAAAGTTTCAATTAATATATGATAAATGGTGACCGACAACTTTTTGGTGAATAAAATAGGCATCCCTTTCATTCTAGCGTAGCTCTTTTGGGAGTATTCTTTGTATCAAATCAATAATGGATAGAATCGAAATGCGACAATTATTACTTGCATAAGTGGCTTAATTATTTTATTCAATTTGGTATAATGCGAATCAAGCAATCTTTAAGATGGTGACTTTTTTTTTTTTTAATAGATGAATTAGATTTGGTTACTAATTTATTATTCGTAGTTGGAAATCCCGGGTTCTCAAGACAACTTTAATAGGTTCAATTGTTTATCGCGTTCTCAGATAACTTCACGTTGAAAAAAAGAAATTTTCGATTGAATAAATTATCAATAAGAAAATTTATTTCATTGCTTAAGAACTAATTATTAACGAGGTCGGTGTTGAAGGCACCAAAAGTCGCCAAATTACAAGGCATAAAAAGAAGTTTCAATATAAATCATAAAAAAAAAAACATAAATAAGTGAAACATGGGTTTAAATACGCGAATGGTGTATATATGTGTGCTCTAAATTTGTTATTTTGCAGTTATCGATGCTTTTTTATTACTGGTGCAACGGAGATGGTTGATCAAAGTTTGCCGTTTTCGGAATAAGTCCTATTTTGCGTTTCGTAAAATCGACTTTTTAGAGAAGAAATTTTTTTTTAAAAAAAAAAAACCCCCCGAATTTTCCAAGTAAATCCTACCTAGAATCTTAAACATTTCCTGATCCTCATTGAAATCATTGTTATCAGTCGTCAACAGTTTATCACCGGTAAAGATGGAGTTGGCCCCGGCCAAGAAACATAAAGCCTGATTTGCGTGAGGATTTAATTCGTTGGTATTTGAACAATCATTTCAATCACAGAACTTTTTTTTTTTCGAAAGTTTACCTGTTCCGGTTGTGAGAACCTTATACGACCAGCTGATAATCTCACCATCGACCTGGGCATGATTATACGCGACGTCGCGATCATTCGAATCATTTCCCAAATTGAAACGGGCTATTCAAGAAGAAAACTTACCTAAATCAACTTGTCCGGGAACAATGTATGACAACAAACTCCTACGTACCTCTTGTTTTTCCAATGGAGTGCCTTCAACTTGCACGAGTGCGTTGATGGGTACACTCTCGGGATGCTGAGATAATGTGGCCAAAGTATGCAACATACCTACGCGATCTTCCGAATTTTCACCCAATCCTATGATACCTCCGGAGCATACGGAGATACCCGCGTTTTGAACATTTGAAATTGTTTCGAGACGTTCATCATACGATCGGGTGGTTATGATCTTTAAAGGATAACGCCATAAAGAGCATATTTAGAAGTAGTTACGATAGCCAACAAAACAATGTTCGGACATACCTTAGGATAGAACTCTCGTGAAGTATCTAGATTATGATTATACGCTGTTAATCCTGCTTCCTTTAATGCTTTTGCTTGGTCCTCATTCAACATTCCCAGCGTACAACAGACTTCCATATCCATGGACCTATATTTGTTCGTCCACATGATTTACGCGTCAGCTTAATCACGTGAGTATAAGCACCACGAGAAAATTTACCTGATCTCTTTCACATAATTCAGAATTTTTTTAAAATTGGATTTTCGACCGCTCAGGTCACGCCATGCAGCTCCCATGCAGAATCTATTGATTGTAAGGGCAAGAGGTTTAAAAAAAAAAAAGCCTTGTTCTGAAAAGAAATAAATTTTAAACTACGTCGTTTGAATGCTGACCTGGTGCTCCCGGCTTCTTTGGCCTTTCTGGCGGCAACAAGCACTTCGTCAGTATCCAACATTTTTGATGCCTTAATCTGTGTCTTGTATTTTGATGATTGCGGACAATACGAACAATCTTCCGAACATCCACCCGTTTTAATGCTCAAGAGAGTACATTGTTGCACAGCGAGAGGATCATGATGCTTTCGATGAACCTTGGCCTTGATGATAAATGTCACGAAAAGGCATTAGTGCTGAACGTTGAGACGCAAAACTCACGTGACAACATCAACACTCACTCCGAAATATAGAAGATCCATTATGGGGGAATCATAAACAGACTGTATTTCTCTTCTTGACCAGTCGTTTCTAATGCGGCTTTCAGTAGCATATATACCAGCGGCTGAAAGCGGTCTCGTGGTCAGTTCTGCCGTTGTACTCACAGAGGCTAACCTTCGAACCGATGTTGCCGAATGGTTTCGGATGGAACCGAGAACTCCATTCCTTATGCCGGAGGTAATAAAATAGGTGGTGTTCATGGCAAACGAAAAAAAGGTTTCCTGGTGTTCATTGCTGAGATTGTGAGGTGATTTATATACTGTATAACAACGTCGATCGAGATGATCGAAATTTCCAGTCGTTACACCAGGATAATTTTAATGTTGTACCATCAGGATATATGCTCATTCTTAGTGCTGATGACTTGCAAGCCATGTGGCTCTTCTTTCAAAAGTTTCGACCGAGCATACGGACTCACGTTGTCGTGCACGGTGCAATATCTAGAAACGTGGTAACTTTCTCAAATAGATGATGCTCGCCTGCTTTCGTCAATTCTTGCGAGTTATTAATTTTTCGGTGTCACCCAGTTTTTGGAAAACTGTTCGACAAATCGAAATGTTTACCTCAGCCTTTGGAGAAAGGGATCGAGGGCCGCCAGCAGGACCACCGCTACCAACACTGCGAATATTTATAAATATAACAGAAAGAGATTTTCAACGAAAAACGAGTCTTTATTAATGTATACTGCAGCCGTACTCATTTTTGGAGTGGGCTTGACGTACGCGTCGGTTCCTTTGTATCGAATGTTTTGTCAGACAACGGGTTTTGGCGGAACACCAATGGCCGGAAGTTCAAAATTTAGTCCAGATCGCTTGGTTCCGGAAAAAGACTCTCGAAGGATTAAAGTGACCTTTAACGCGGACAGATCACGGGCCCTTCCATGGTCCTTCACACCTCAGCAGCGCGAAGTACGAGTTCTGCCGGGAGAAACTGCACTCGCTTTTTACACCGCAAAGAATGACTCGGATCAAGATATCATAGGAATAGCCACATATAACGTGACACCTTTTAAGGTGGCGCCGTACTTTAATAAGATACAATGCTTTTGTTTTGAAGAGCAAAAGTTGGAGGCTGGAGAGGAGGTTGACATGCCCGTATTCTTTTTCATTGATCCAGAGTTTAATGATGATCCACTGATGAAGGATGTTGATACAATCACCTTATCATACACTTTCTTCAAGGTAACATAATTGTTCTTTTTTTTTTTTCCATACCCGATGAATTTTTTTTTTTTTTTTTTACATAACATTAACCGACTATATATGCTATCTTCAAAGGCGAAATATAATGATAATGGTGTGTTGATACCAGCTTCAGCATGAAGAATAGTTATATGCGAGACAATCGTGATGGGAAATTAAATTGAATTTGAATTTCCTGCAGTGGTTCCCCGTGTTCATTCGCATACACGAACCACACTTCCTCCTCCTATAGCTGATCGCGCTTCTTTGCAGTTCGCTGATAGGGTCGCAACACCCATTCGGTGTCGGCAGTTTTCAATTCCACGGTTCCCAATTTGATTTCATAGGCTTTGATAATGCAGAAATAGTAAAATTAGAATGAAATCAATGAAAATTAAAGACTTTGACTATCACTCACGTCTCATTTCAAATCGCGGACCCACTTCGGCTAATTGAACTTCCTTATTATTTATTTTCACGAACACGTGATGGCTTATTAAAATTGAATTGAATCGTTAGGAAAGCGATTATACGCTTCTTAAAAAAAGTGTAGGGTCAATGATATGCTCTGCTCTCACCGGAAGGAAATGTAATCGCCTTCATTTGCGAACGTCATCACCCGTTTACTGTCCTCCTTTGGTACCGGGAACAAGTACTTGAGAATGTTTGTCACCTGGATTAAGAAGATGCGTTAATCCCCGTATTATGTCGATTATATTGAAACAATTGCTAGTCCTTTTTCACTTACGCGACGACCCAAATTACTATTAAAATTATTAAATATCAAGTGCGGATATGCTTCCGAAACGGTGCCCTGATCCCGGATGTCATGTCTTAACACGACATTGTGAAGGGAAAAGTAGGCGGTGGGACCATAGGGGAAGTGGCAGATCACCATTCCATCTAAAGGGGAAAACGAGAGATCAGTGGACGTTTGGTTATCGATAAAAAAATAGTAACAATATCAAGTAAAATAATAATCTACCGGGTTCACCACGGTGCTCGTGTAATATTATTAGATCGGTAACTTCGTTTGCTCTGCAGGCATCAACCATATCCTTAATCACGTAATTACCGCGATTTATACGCTGGGAATTTGGAATGACTAGACGTATTTCCTTATTAAATAAGAAGTTTTTCTCTTTCCTTAGATTAGAGTGAAAAAGCGAAAAATTCTGCGAATCCTTGTACCTTTGCAAACTGAGCGAGTCTAGTACTGGGAGAACGGGAAGTCGTGACTAGCACCTTGGGATCGTAAATTCCAGCCCTCGCATACTCGTCATCAACATGCGTGGTAGGTTCTGTGTAATTCCGAACGGATTTAGGTTGGGAAAAGTTCGCGGAATTCAAAATTCCAAAAACCGACCTGTTTGAGCTTCATCGAAATGAAGTTCCTTTTGAAGTTCGGCAGCTTCTTTGCGCAATTCAGTCGGTATGGGTTTCCCATCTGTTTGAAGTTTAGGTGTCAAAGATCGACCTCGAGACTTCGGTCGAATGAAGGAAGGAATAGTACGGGAAAATACCTTTGATTGCCTCTTTTATCTTTTGCTTCCTTTCAAAGATTTGTTTCTCTTTGGTTTCCAAGGATTTGCGATATAGATACTCTCGTCTGAGACGCGTCTGTTTTCGGATCTTTGGTGGGAGGATAGAATTAGCATGATTCGTTTTGATTTCAACTACAGCCCGGGTTGCGAAAAATAATTACCATGTTGCGTCTAAAAAAGTGAACACCGGCAAAAAAAAAAAAAAAAATTTTTTTTTTTTTATGGAAACTCGTGTTACATTGAAGCTGATAACACCAGAGATCCCAAATTCGCGCATAAACTTCGTCCGACATGACAAAAGTTTCGACAAACAGCAAGAAGAAAGGTGCTCAGAAGCATCAAAATACTTTTGCCTTTCACGCCAACAAGAATTCCAAGAAAACCAAAATAATCAATTCACTACCGATAAATGGAGTGTATGTTGAGCATATTTTTTCGCTCGTTGCTTTAATAATCCAAACTAATGAAATTATTACCATTACTGCGCTTTGCGAACAAAGATGTCAAAAATGTAAAGACATTATCGATTGGCGCAAAAAATTTAAAAAGTACAAGCCGCTGACGACCCCCAAACGCTGGTAAGTTGTTATCACCTGATTGAAATTATTGTTTCGTTGATTCAAGTCCTAAGTGCTTTACGCAGTGTCGGCTGCGAAGAGAAGACAGTCAAAGAAGCGTATCACATATTGTGCAATAAATGTACCAGCGAAAAGGGGGTATGCGCAAAGTGCCAAGAGGTTGCCCAAATAACACCGAGGTTCGTGGATTATATGTCATTCACGTACATTATACGCACATTATACGCGCATCTTACTCTGCAACCAAATATCTGACAGCGGCACGAAAAGTGACAAGGAATTGTTGCAAGAGCAACAGGAACTTGAAAGGATATTATCGACACTGCCGGAGCGCAGGAGGAGGTCATACCTTCGAAGATTAGAACGCGGCGAGGCACCGCCACTAAGCAGTCTGGTCAAGGAAGGGAACAAGGAAGATGACATTGACGAAGAGGAGGAAGACGACGAGGACTTTAATGACGAGGAGAATGACAGCGAGGATGATTAGATTTGCACAATTCTCGTTGTGCGTGATTTTTTAGATTTCAAATGGACAAGCTTGAATTACATTTATTTAATTTATTTGTGACAGATTGATAATAAGTGATTCGGGGCAAATTGGAACATTCGGAGGATAACCGTCTGCGGACTCGGCAAAATTTTGGGTCCAATACTTTTCCAGGAAACCCGAACCAAAGTGCGTGTATCTTTTGTTCAAGATGTTTGCTCGGTGGCCTCTCGAGTTCATCCATCTATGTTATTAAGTTCACGTGATGATGCGCCATTTTCGCTTTAAAAAAAAGTTACCGGCGTAAATAATATAATAAAAAATAACACCTACGCTTTCATGACACCAACTTCATCTTCCGAGTCAAAGCCATACGCGATGTTTTCGCCCGCCGAGTACCAATCAAACCCCACGTTATCGATTCTTTTGCCCAATGACCCATCCGCATCATCATGCGTGAGATTCCCAGCTCTTACCATGTAATTCGTGTGAAGCTGGGCGGATTTAACTAGGCGACTTTTCCATCGATGTGTGGCAATGTTTTTGAATGTTCGAGGAAGGGATTAAAAGAGGTGTCATTGAGAATCCTTTCAATGTCAAATTTCCGATACATACGCATCAAGTGCCAAAGGCCTCACCCTAGCCCTTATACGTTCTTTATTGACCAAACAAAGCAATGTGGCAGGGGTGGTAGCTTCCACCTGACTCAAAGCATTTATCCCATTGAAAAATAAGAGCGCTGCCAAAAGAGTTATTGGGAAAATAATTTTCATGACCATCGCGAAGAATGACTCGGATCAAGATATCATAGGAATAGCCACATATAACGTGACACCTTTTAAGGTGGCGCCGTACTTTAATAAGATACAATGCTTTTGTTTTGAAGAGCAAAAGTTGGAGGCTGGAGAGGAGGTTGACATGCCCGTATTCTTTTTCATTGATCCAGAGTTTAATGATGATCCACTGATGAAGGATGTTGATACAATCACCTTATCATACACTTTCTTCAAGGTAACATAATTGTTCTTTTTTTTTTTTCCATACCCGATGAATTTTTTTTTTTTTTTTTTACATAACATTAACCGACTATATATGCTATCTTCAAAGGCGAAATATAATGATAATGGTGTGTTGATACCAGCTTCAGCATGAAGAATAGTTATATGCGAGACAATCGTGATGGGAAATTAAATTGAATTTGAATTTCCTGCAGTGGTTCCCCGTGTTCATTCGCATACACGAACCACACTTCCTCCTCCTATAGCTGATCGCGCTTCTTTGCAGTTCGCTGATAGGGTCGCAACACCCATTCGGTGTCGGCAGTTTTCAATTCCACGGTTCCCAATTTGATTTCATAGGCTTTGATAATGCAGAAATAGTAAAATTAGAATGAAATCAATGAAAATTAAAGACTTTGACTATCACTCACGTCTCATTTCAAATCGCGGACCCACTTCGGCTAATTGAACTTCCTTATTATTTATTTTCACGAACACGTGATGGCTTATTAAAATTGAATTGAATCGTTAGGAAAGCGATTATACGCTTCTTAAAAAAAGTGTAGGGTCAATGATATGCTCTGCTCTCACCGGAAGGAAATGTAATCGCCTTCATTTGCGAACGTCATCACCCGTTTACTGTCCTCCTTTGGTACCGGGAACAAGTACTTGAGAATGTTTGTCACCTGGATTAAGAAGATGCGTTAATCCCCGTATTATGTCGATTATATTGAAACAATTGCTAGTCCTTTTTCACTTACGCGACGACCCAAATTACTATTAAAATTATTAAATATCAAGTGCGGATATGCTTCCGAAACGGTGCCCTGATCCCGGATGTCATGTCTTAACACGACATTGTGAAGGGAAAAGTAGGCGGTGGGACCATAGGGGAAGTGGCAGATCACCATTCCATCTAAAGGGGAAAACGAGAGATCAGTGGACGTTTGGTTATCGATAAAAAAATAGTAACAATATCAAGTAAAATAATAATCTACCGGGTTCACCACGGTGCTCGTGTAATATTATTAGATCGGTAACTTCGTTTGCTCTGCAGGCATCAACCATATCCTTAATCACGTAATTACCGCGATTTATACGCTGGGAATTTGGAATGACTAGACGTATTTCCTTATTAAATAAGAAGTTTTTCTCTTTCCTTAGATTAGAGTGAAAAAGCGAAAAATTCTGCGAATCCTTGTACCTTTGCAAACTGAGCGAGTCTAGTACTGGGAGAACGGGAAGTCGTGACTAGCACCTTGGGATCGTAAATTCCAGCCCTCGCATACTCGTCATCAACATGCGTGGTAGGTTCTGTGTAATTCCGAACGGATTTAGGTTGGGAAAAGTTCGCGGAATTCAAAATTCCAAAAACCGACCTGTTTGAGCTTCATCGAAATGAAGTTCCTTTTGAAGTTCGGCAGCTTCTTTGCGCAATTCAGTCGGTATGGGTTTCCCATCTGTTTGAAGTTTAGGTGTCAAAGATCGACCTCGAGACTTCGGTCGAATGAAGGAAGGAATAGTACGGGAAAATACCTTTGATTGCCTCTTTTATCTTTTGCTTCCTTTCAAAGATTTGTTTCTCTTTGGTTTCCAAGGATTTGCGATATAGATACTCTCGTCTGAGACGCGTCTGTTTTCGGATCTTTGGTGGGAGGATAGAATTAGCATGATTCGTTTTGATTTCAACTACAGCCCGGGTTGCGAAAAATAATTACCATGTTGCGTCTAAAAAAGTGAACACCGGCAAAAAAAAAAAAAAAAATTTTTTTTTTTTTATGGAAACTCGTGTTACATTGAAGCTGATAACACCAGAGATCCCAAATTCGCGCATAAACTTCGTCCGACATGACAAAAGTTTCGACAAACAGCAAGAAGAAAGGTGCTCAGAAGCATCAAAATACTTTTGCCTTTCACGCCAACAAGAATTCCAAGAAAACCAAAATAATCAATTCACTACCGATAAATGGAGTGTATGTTGAGCATATTTTTTCGCTCGTTGCTTTAATAATCCAAACTAATGAAATTATTACCATTACTGCGCTTTGCGAACAAAGATGTCAAAAATGTAAAGACATTATCGATTGGCGCAAAAAATTTAAAAAGTACAAGCCGCTGACGACCCCCAAACGCTGGTAAGTTGTTATCACCTGATTGAAATTATTGTTTCGTTGATTCAAGTCCTAAGTGCTTTACGCAGTGTCGGCTGCGAAGAGAAGACAGTCAAAGAAGCGTATCACATATTGTGCAATAAATGTACCAGCGAAAAGGGGGTATGCGCAAAGTGCCAAGAGGTTGCCCAAATAACACCGAGGTTCGTGGATTATATGTCATTCACGTACATTATACGCACATTATACGCGCATCTTACTCTGCAACCAAATATCTGACAGCGGCACGAAAAGTGACAAGGAATTGTTGCAAGAGCAACAGGAACTTGAAAGGATATTATCGACACTGCCGGAGCGCAGGAGGAGGTCATACCTTCGAAGATTAGAACGCGGCGAGGCACCGCCACTAAGCAGTCTGGTCAAGGAAGGGAACAAGGAAGATGACATTGACGAAGAGGAGGAAGACGACGAGGACTTTAATGACGAGGAGAATGACAGCGAGGATGATTAGATTTGCACAATTCTCGTTGTGCGTGATTTTTTAGATTTCAAATGGACAAGCTTGAATTACATTTATTTAATTTATTTGTGACAGATTGATAATAAGTGATTCGGGGCAAATTGGAACATTCGGAGGATAACCGTCTGCGGACTCGGCAAAATTTTGGGTCCAATACTTTTCCAGGAAACCCGAACCAAAGTGCGTGTATCTTTTGTTCAAGATGTTTGCTCGGTGGCCTCTCGAGTTCATCCATCTATGTTATTAAGTTCACGTGATGATGCGCCATTTTCGCTTTAAAAAAAAGTTACCGGCGTAAATAATATAATAAAAAATAACACCTACGCTTTCATGACACCAACTTCATCTTCCGAGTCAAAGCCATACGCGATGTTTTCGCCCGCCGAGTACCAATCAAACCCCACGTTATCGATTCTTTTGCCCAATGACCCATCCGCATCATCATGCGTGAGATTCCCAGCTCTTACCATGTAATTCGTGTGAAGCTGGGCGGATTTAACTAGGCGACTTTTCCATCGATGTGTGGCAATGTTTTTGAATGTTCGAGGAAGGGATTAAAAGAGGTGTCATTGAGAATCCTTTCAATGTCAAATTTCCGATACATACGCATCAAGTGCCAAAGGCCTCACCCTAGCCCTTATACGTTCTTTATTGACCAAACAAAGCAATGTGGCAGGGGTGGTAGCTTCCACCTGACTCAAAGCATTTATCCCATTGAAAAATAAGAGCGCTGCCAAAAGAGTTATTGGGAAAATAATTTTCATGACCATCGCGAAAAAAAAAAAGAAATTTTTGAAATGAAAAATTCAGAAATTCCCTTCAGAAATGACTATTCACTATTATGAAGTATGTTTGGAGTACGCCAACGCATTGTGTTTATAATTTTCAATCAATCGGGTTTAATGTATTGAGAAATAAGATTCATCATTTGTGCTTCCACATGATCTAGGCGGAACGGTTACTTTATATACTGTATATGGCAAAAATCTTCGAATATCCAAAAGTCATCAATAATTGAAAAGATGAATGCGATAGTCTAGCGAACAGTGCAATTCTATTTACAATCTAACAATTGATTATCGCCATTATGACTTGCTCATCCCCAATTTTGCTCATAACTCCTTCGGCAAAGTATTCTCCTATTTTATCCACCAGTTTTTGTCTCAAATCCTCGTCGTGCATTTGAACGTTGACCGTGGGATCAATGGTTTCTTTTAGCTTTGGTAGTATGTCCTGAATGAAAATTTGCGGGCGTCAAAAATTTGTGACGGAGAAAATCCTTGTGGGCAAATTAACGACTCACCACTATTGCGTTGTAACAGCGCACGGCTTTGACATCGGAAAGATCCTTCGACGAGAGTACCTCCTCTGCATATGTTTTGAGGTTTGGCACCAAGATGGACCTGATCACCTCGCGTCCTAAAGCACCCATAGCCACTATACAGCCGTAGTGCGTGCTCAAGGATTTTGATGAGTCGATGAAGGCAGATAATAAAACCCGGGTAATCCTTGGTTGTAAAGTATTGTAGCTCGCACCGTATCTATCACAGATTTTGGCGAGTATATGCGCGGCCAATTCGCGTATTTCCCAATGGTGGTTGTCGGGATCTACCCCGATCTTCTTTCTCACTACACAGGTCAGTATAGCTGGCATCAAATGATGTAGCTGTCAAAATTATTCGTGAATTTTATTCTACTTTCTTTCTTTCTTTTTGCTTTTCACCTCATTCAAAGGATGGATAACACTTACATGAGGTTCCAAATAGAGACTGGTGTTGTTGATCAACGAGTCGGTCATCTTTAGCATTGACTCGATGATAGTAAGGTTCTTTTTGATGTGCTGTCCAATCTACAAAATATTACCAAATGGTGATATTGATTGACCGCATGTAATTTATGATCCCTCTAATTTTTTTCACAACGATGAATCCACAAGAAATCACGCAAACCAATTCCTCCAATTCTTAAATGCGCGCGTCGTCACCAACAAAAAAAAAAAAAAAAAAAAAAAATCCGCATACCTTCTCGCAAATAAACTGTATAAAGTATGGGAGCAGTTGTGCTAACCCAGTGTCACGTTCCAGACTTTGGAGCACGGACACTCTCATCATACTATCATCCTCACTTTGCATGGTCGTTGTAACTTTTTCATAAAATACCTGCAGTTCTTTGGACAACACGTGTTGCACCAAAGGCTTAACCTCTATTTCCGGCGTGCCGGACACTACCCCGTTAGGCACTTGGATAATAGCATTCGTTGATGCCCTTCTGTTGCGGATTTCTGGTACGATATCTTGGGCACACATTAAAAGTTTGAGAAAGAAGAAGTCTCGAAAAGCGCAATCATTCTAGGCTCAATGCCTACCTTCGGTGGAGAGAGGTGATGGATTATGCGGAATCGCCGGTTGGACGCCTTCCACCGCGAGCCAATGAGCTTTGTGATTGGAAGTCGAAATAAATCAGTCATTGATCGATGAAATCGCCCGGTCCTGTAAAGTCCACAGCAAACATAACCAACCAGTGAAGGTGACCTCCGAGGGTAACTTTGGCATCGGTGAATCGATCAAGCTTTCGAACTCATACTCATCGTCATCAAGGTAAAACAGGTCATGCTGGCCTGCCGTCACACGTTGGAATTTGGGTTCTTCATTTAAGGTAAATCCGTACAATGGCTACGAAACGTTAGGTGAATTTTTATCCAGGTGGTTTGGAAGTAGAATTCTCAGGATCAGAGATAGACCTTCAATAGCTTACGTCCACGTTGCGCACGTGTAGTGCATTATTTATGTCCTCGCCCGTGAGTTTGGTACGTTTTGAGTGACGCATGAACTTATTCGCTTCCTATTCGAAGCATTAGTTTTAAGTTATATTTCTCGGGAACACTTTGTCGATTTGGAATGCGCGCACCACCTGAATAATCTCGTGGATTCTATACTCCACATCAAGTGCCAGTGTAGCTGCGACATTATCCTTTAGGTTCGCGATCCCCACAGACTCGGCCGTGCTCTAATGATGAAATTTGAAGGTTAACATTGAGAGGTGGAGAGTTTTGGGGGGGGGTAATAAAGGTGGAACGAACCTTGATGGTATCTTTGGGAAACAGTCTGTCCATATTCGCTTGCTGTTTAGGTGAGATCGTTGGATCACAAATTAGCGGATATTACAATGTAGGCATCGCATCTCTCCACGTGATACGCAGGTAACCCCAGCATGACGCACATATTCACAAATTAGGTTGATGTAACGCCCAGTCGGTCAAGTATTCTAGAACACTGCCGGAATTGTCACCAACTTACATATAGGGGTTTAGTCGAAAAAGTTCAATCGAATGCAATCACACATCAATAATGAACACAACCACCGGTTCCTCGTCAAATTCCAACAATGAGGCTAGACATTTAAGTTTGAGTGACACTCGTCTGAATGACTTCTTGCCCATGTCGTTGCAACTAGAGAATCTCACAAATAATCTGTCAAATACCGTGTCAACCACTGCCTCCATGCTTTTCTCACCTCTAACACACAGAGCGGTCAAAGGAGACACGGTGGCCATATTATCCGAGTTGGCCCCTCAGCTAATGGACCAACGACGCATACAGCAGTATGTGGGTAGCAGTGCTCGTCACGCAAAGGAAGGTTCAAGTCGACTTGCCATAACACCTGATGATTACCCGATTCGAGTGAGCAAACCAAATCCCAAAGAACTTCTCGTGAATGCCGAAATACCCGAGTCCAAAGCACCCCTATCGTTACTTCAAGGCTACAGGGCTACATTTTCGGAAGTTGAAACATTGAAAGAGAATGGAAAAAAAAGGGGGAAACCTAACAAGCGAAAAATCAAAGGTCTCTTGACAGAAACGCTATCCACATCAGACGTCATGTCCGAAACCGGTATATTGCATCCCTGTGATGAAAATTCTTTCCAGCAAAGTAAACCCCGAGAATTAGCTTTCTAAAGATTTAAATTTTTAAATACGTATAGCATCGATAGACAATGAACACAAGCCACTCAATCAACTTATCGCTGATCGTGATCGGGTGGTCAGGGAGAATGATCGCTTGCATCTACAGGAGGTATTTTAATATAAATAAGAATATTTGTTTCTCGATGTGGAGGTCATAATCAAAAAATGATAACTCTAATTTACTCCGATCAATCAAGTCACGGACAATTTCTGATATCAAAAGGATAGAGTTAGAGATCGCTGCGTTGACCGCGCAGAAGCTCAATCTAGAGGAGAATCTGGTGAAATACAAAGAAAGAAAGGTTGAATTGGTTGAACAATGTAAAATTCTTTTTTTTTTTTTATTCTCGGTATAATGTCACGAAATATTTAAATCCAATAACACCCCGAACCCTTTAATCACAGTGGAAGACCTGAATGAGAGAATCACCATTTTTGCCCAGGAAAATGGTTGCTCGGAAAGGAGAACGCGCGGTATCAAAGGTGCGTGGCGATCAATAAGCAAATCCCGAAAATCATCGCAAATCAATTTTTAAAGTCCATCATCTGCTTGCATCTGGATAAAAATTGCAGGACCAAAACATAAACCGGGAACTTGTATAAAGGTGTGTACAGAATTCAATCCTTTTGCGCGTTCTGTCTGTCACAACGTTCGTAATCCATAGACTGTTTTCGACCGAAGGTATTAGAAGGACACGAGGACATGATCATATGCCTGGACCTTGACAAGCCATATGGTAGACTTGTCACGGCTTCATTGGATAACACGTTACGGCTGTGGGATTTAAGCAGCTACCGTAGTCTGGGAATATTGGAGGGTCATGAAGGTAAATTCTGTGGAAGGACGTGACACGACCTATCTTCACTCGATATTTTATCATGCGTTTTCCATACTTCTAGGGGTGGTCAATTGTTTGCAATTGAAGGGACGTCACCTTGTCACAGGGTCACGCGATAGAACCATCAGACAATGGGATATATCCAAATTGGCATTGCGCAATGAGTCGGTTACTAATCTAACGGAGTTGAACTTCAAGTCGGGATCAGCACCCGAACAAAACGGATTATCGTTTGTGGGCGAAGATTGTTGGTTGGCCACTCTAGAGGGACATGGTGGAAGTGTTACATGCCTGCACTATGAAAACAGCTGTTTGGTAGGATTGGTTGGTGTGAGTTGGTTGGTTGAAAGTTGGAATGCAGATTTAAAGATATTTGCCTTGTCGTACAGGTGTCAGGTTCATCCGACAAGACCATGAAACAGTGGGACATGGAAACAGGACAATGCATTTTGACCATGGACATTTTGTGGGCCATGTCCAGCTCCAAAGCTGAACGTAGGCACGCGGGGTTTCTATCAGATGGCTACACATTTGATCAAGGAGACTTTATTGGAGCCTTGCAATTTCGAGATATCGGTCTGGCGAGTGGGACACAAGATGGTGCCATAAGGATGTGGGATTGTATCTTTTTTTTTTTTTTTACTTGGTTCACTCTAGTGCACCCATTCCTTCTTTTTTTATTGCCACCATTATCATACCTTTTTTTCATCATCCTTAACTCTTTAATGTGTTTAAAAAAAAAGTAAGGACAGGACAAGTTCATCGCACCCTACTTGGTCATACAGGTATTGACGAGTATGAATTATTATTATTACTATTATTTTGAAAATGTCACATATGACAACGAGTCCTCTATTTTTGTTGATAGGTCCTATAACGTGTCTTCAGTTCGACGACTTGCACATCGTAAGTGGGAGCATCGACAAGAGTATAAAGGTATTGTTGAGTTTCTATCTTTCTTTTTGGGGGGCGTGTGTGACGAATTATTAATCGATCTTACCCATCAATCAACCTGTTAATCGCAAACGAAGACATGGGACCTAAGAACAGGAACGGTTATAGATACCTTCTCGTATGACCACAGCATTACGAGCTTGCAATTTGATTCCCATAAAATAATTTGCAGCGCTGGTAGCAACGATATCAAGGTTCGATTTTACTTTAATGAACCGATTCTATTTCGAAACATTGTACTCGTTTTTCTTAAAAGACCAATGCGCTGTTTCAATTCAGATATATAATCGAACCTCCTTCCAACATTCGAGTTTCGAAGGGCACAGTCGCCCTGTGTACTGTACAAAGTATAAAGATTCCATTTTGTCCTCCGGAGGTCTGGATAATCTCGTGAAGATATGGGCTTTATGACCACGACCAAATAAAAAAATTTTTTAACCAAGAAATACGATAGATCAATGGCGGGGGCGGTTTGTACAAGAGAAAGTATTTTATTTATCAAAAAAATTCATTAAAAACAATGCAATTATCGGTAGATTTAAAAAGAGTAATGAATAAATCTAATCATCGAATTCCCAATCGGAAGATAATTAGTAATAAATTTATTTGCCTTGTTGGCAAGAAAGAGTCTATCTCAGTTTGTAATAAGAATAACTATTTGATTATCTAAATATGCTCGCTATTTTTTTTTTTTTTTTGTCGTAATAGAAGTTTAAACATATACTATTTATTGTACATAGTTCTCGTTGGAAACATAATTTTTCGTCTGAATGAAATGCATCTTAAAAAATCAGATTAAGACGAAGAAACCTCCTTTAAATGCACTTGCCATATATACGTGTCGCATACGGTTTTCAGGATAACAACTTGTTCAAATATGGAAATCTTTTTTTGCAATTAAACATTTATTTACAGTATTAACAATTTGTTTTTTTTGAGGCATATGCAATGCCGATATTTTTACATATATTATTACATATAAATTAACACTGCCTTTGTCACCTATTTTACTTAGCAATGCATCCTTTTAAACTTCCAGAAGGAAATTATTGTGTTTGAGAGAATCTACAGGAAGGAAATTTCTATCACTAGTTTAAACCATCTAGCTTCGTCCAGTCCAAGTCTCGCTGTATAAAGTCGAATCATGAAATTAGTATAAAGTCAATCAATCCGCAGAGTTTCTAGTTATTAATTTCTAGAGTTATTGATATGTCCATTCTCTCCACTTGTGATATTGAAAAGAATATCTTTTGCTATTTTTGAATTATTATTGGAATTAATTTATATATTCAGATAATTATCATAATTTTAAAAGCGGAATCTTGAAGCGTACTGATATGGTTTTATAATAAAAAAGTTGAATAGAATTATATATGGTTGAGCCCTTTGACAGTTTAACTTTTGCAATTACTTCTTGATTAATTTGAATTAAGGATTTTTATTTAAAGATCCAAGGTTTTATTATTTAAATTATTAACAATATATTTGAATATTAAATCATTTGTTACACAAGATTCTATATTATTTTAAATTTATTTGCATTTCTTTAAAAAACAATTTATCTAAATTAATTTTTTTTATTAATTTATTTTTTTTTTTAAGTACTCGTAGTCAGGCGATATCATCAGTTTATTAATCAATTGAAAATATAAATATATTTTCATTCAAGTAATATAATACATACTGTAGTTAAACTATTATTCTAATTTAACTAACTCATTGTAAACATAAAAGCCTCTAAGTTCAACCTTGGAAACAATATTTTATTCTGTAGTGTCTTTGAATAAAAACCTTCCTAGTCCATTGCATCATTGCTAGCAGGTTTTCACTACTATATATCAAATCAAATCATTAAAATACAGGAAATTACAAAAAAATAGATTGAAAAAAGAAAAAGAGAAATATTTAAAAATATCTAAATAAATAATAAGAAAATAAAAAAGTAAAAATTGAAAAAAATATTTTCAGCTTTTTTCAAAGACTTGCTTCTTAACACCTCTTTTCAATAAGAAATATTCAATTAAGATATCCTTTTTTTTCTGACTATTTAAAGAACTTATTTATTCTTAATCTTGATTTTCTTTATGTATACCATCTAAGGAAACTTATTATCTAGTGAAAGTCTTTACTTTCAGAATACACTTGATTTCAATCTTCTTTGAACAATAATTTTTTATTTACCTGTAGTTAATGATGGTCCCTAAAATATTTAGTATATAAAATTTTGCAAATCACTTATGTCTTTTTTTGAGTGACAAAATTTATAACTCTTCATTTTAATAGGGACAAAAATTAGGAAATATTATAAATCAATGATTTGAATAATAGAGAACAATTATGTATAGTTTTTTTATAGTTATTAATTTAAAAATTTTAATGTTTCCTAGTAAAGGACATTTGACTTTTATTCCTACCTCCCCCTTTAGGAATCTATCTTTACCTATAATAAAGAGATGACTTATGATAGATCCCAGGTTCTTATATAATCTAATAGAAATTAAGTTATGTTATTTCAATAAGATACCTTCCAGCAGTCATACCTAATTAAAAAATTTTACTGATATATATCTTCCATTATTCAAAAGATTAAATTTATCAATAATCCTTTTACCTTGTAATAGTAAAAGAGTCTTAATAGTGATAGGGATCCTTATCGATTATGATATTTTTTAACAACTTCTAAAGAAATATATTCTTAACTATAACCAAAGAATTGGAACTTAACATGAACTAGAAACTATTCAATTTTATTGTTTGATTAAAATAAAAAAGAGATCTTGGTCTTGAACTTTGTCTAATCAGAATAAAAAAAAAAAAAGATCTCAGCTTAAACAAATAACAACTTTTTCATTATCTGGAAACTTGATCTATAAGTTAATTTAATTGAAAAAGTAAAATGGATATAAGGCACTAATCAACTCTTTCAATTATCAATAATATCATTAGAATATGTAAAGTGACCAGTAGAAACTTGTTTATATTCAGTTACTAATGTGTTTTGTGTCAACTAATCAAATACCAGGTAACATTGTATTATCAAAAATTTAGGATCAAACTGCAATAGACAAATTCCCTCAAGAAAATTATAAAAAACAATAGACACTTTAAGAAGATACAAGACAATATATAAGAAGGTAACTAATAAATCTTTTCCTGCCAACAAAATCTTAATTTCTTGTTACTTCTAGCTCTGTAAGGGGATACTCTACTTGTTGGTTTTTTTACTTCCCAGAATCTTCTTGTCCTTAATAGAGAACATGCATACTTGAATCTTTTTAAACTATTAGGAATTCAAGTTTTTATTTAAAAGAATTTATAAACAAGTAACACTAATCAAAATTATATCATTCAACTACTGAATTATTATTAAATTTGATAAAAATTGATAATAAAAAAATTGATAAATTATTTATGATTACTGTTACTTAACATAAAAAATATTAACAAAAAATTAATAAAAAAACTTTGACATAAAATCTAGCAATATTATAGTAAAAAATTTGACAAAAAAATTGATAATATGGTTAATGATGGGTCCCTAAAGTATTTAGCATATAAAATTTTGCAGATCACTTATATCCTTTTTTGAGAAACAAAATTCATAACTCTTCACTTCAATAAGGACAAAAATCAGGAAATGTTATAAATCAATTATTTGAATAATGAAGAACAATTGTGAGTAGTTTTTTTATAGTTATTAATTTAAATATTTTAATGTTTCCTAGTAAAGTACATTTGATTTATGTCCCTGCCTCCCCCTTTAGGGACCTATCTTTAACTATGGTAAAAAATTTGACAAAAAAATTACTGTGACAAAAAAATTGACAAAAAATTGATACTGCAGTAAAAAAATTCAACAAAAAAATTATTATAAAAAAAAAATTCAACAAAAGTTACAAATCTAGTATTGAAATTTGATAAATATTTAGAAAGTTTAACAAATTTCATGAAATTTATTAAAAAATTATAAAATCAATTGACTAAATTATTTGTCACTTTTCTCTTTCTTCTCTTTTACTTGCTTTTCTTTTTTCTTTAAAGATTTCAGCTTAACTCTTTTAAAAATAGTCTCAATTGGTTTTACTTTGCCAAATATTTTCTGAGATTTTTTGTTTTTTTCTTCTAACTTAACTACCCCTTGAATTTCACTCATTTATATACTTTTTTCAATTTGTTCCTCACCCTCTGAATATATTAATAATTTCTTATATTCAATCATTTTTCATCTTTTGGATTTAATCATTGATTCTTTATTTTTCTTATCTTTTTTTCTTGTTTATATTTCAAAACTTCTTTTAAACTGTATACCTAATTTGACAAATCTTCTGGTGATATTACTGTATATCATAGAAATATGAATTATCATGATATAATTTACAAGTCAACTGGAATACTTGAATTGATTTCAAATATTTAATCAAATATTTCAACAAATTCTTTAACTATAAGTAATTATAATTAATATTTTAATTATTCAGCATAAAATATTTTGCTAAAAAATACTTCTTTAGAATATTAACTTTAATTATATCTATTTATTCTTTTTTAGTAAGGTTTCCTGGATCAGTTTCACTTTCTTCAGGTAAATAATCTTTGTTTCTTTAATTATATCAATTAATTCATTCTAACTTTCTTTGACCTTCATTTAATAAATAACTGTACACTTTTAATTCTTAATACCCTTTTCTTAATTATTTATTAATAATTAATACTTATAGTATAAATGTTAGATATTATTCATCTTACTTTATTTAATTGATTATTTGTATGTAAATGATAATTGTTTGTTTCCAGTTTTCCAGTTTCTGCCTTCTGAAATCTTTCTTTCTGATAACAATATAAAGTACCTAACTATTTATTTATTTACTTTCCTGTGGAATTAAAATATAGAGTCATAAATTTTATTAATTTAAATATCAACTTTTATAATATTTTTTTTATTCATATCATTTAAAAAAACTTTATATACCTTAGTTTATATTTAGCAAGAATGCTTTTCATTAATACTTTTATTTCTACTTTTGCTTCTTCTGGTTTTGGCTCATCTTCAGTAACTGGTTTTATCAAATTTATTTCTTTACTACTTCTTCCAGATTGAATTCTTTGACACCTTCTTAAACTTTGCAAACTTTTAGATTTTGATATATCAGTTGCTCTGGATTCTACAACTATTATAGGATCAAGTTCGGATTCTACAGATTCGAGTTGATCAATTTTCTTTTTTAAATTTTCTATTTAATTTTTTTTGCTATTCTGATTCTTCAGAAAACTTGTTAATATATTCTATTAGATCCAATTTTTTTACAAATTTGGTATTTTATCTTTCTAGTTTTTTTATCCACATATGTAATTTTTTATTTTCTAAATAAATCGTTTGCTAATAAAGGTAAATTTTAATAATTTAACAATAATTTAATTCTAATTTTTTTTAATATTTTCCTTAGTTCGAGTTTTAAATAGTAAGTTAACTTATAATATTGATATTTATATAACTTCAAATATCAATATTTTAGACAATGCAATATATGGCCTTATTATAAGCAATTCAGTAGAGATTGAAGATTTGATACCAGGTATTACTAAATAAACCATTGATGCTTCTAATGTATTGATACAAAGAAAGTTTGTAATAATAGGGAGAGTTGTGAAGGTTGTAAAGATAAAGGCAGCTATTATCTGTAAAAAGTATATTCAATTGATTTTTTTTTGTTTAGATATTTTAAGTATTGGCAAAAAAATATTAAATTAATAAAGAGTTATTTAAATAAAATTATTTGTACTGTTTTAATACAATTCAGGACTGCATACAACATTATATTATTATTCATTATATTATATTACAATTCAGAGTTACATATTATATTATATTATATATTATTTATCATATTATGCTTATATTATAACACAATTCCAAGCTATTTAATATATTAATTACAACTTTGCCATTTTATGCTACTGTTTATTAATTTTTAAAAATATCAAGAAAGCATTTAATTTTACTTTACTTAATAAAAGTTTAAGAAAAAATTCTAAAAAAGTGAAAATTACTTGTAACTGTAGTAAATACAATAGATCACTTGTTAATACACAAACAAAATTTTTCCATAGATATTGAAAAATAAAAGGCAAACATTTGACAAATAAAGAATTCATATTTTGATATAAAATAAGAAATATTTTATCAAGTCAAATTATGTTATTAAGCAACAATTAACAAAATCTGAGATTGAATAATACAAGTTCTAAAAAGGATAAATCTGAAGTTGATAATGATAAAGAAATAGATGCTATATTTAAAAATTATTTAGTATCAAAATACAAATTTTCATTAAATTCTAGTAAATTTTTGGATAGTCATTTTATATAATTTTGGTGTGGATTATAAACTAT